ATATAAAAGTATACCGATTCTGCTTGTAAACACTTCCGTATGCTCACGGCCTCGACTTGGCTTATTGTCTATTTTACTATAATTAGGACTGGACTCAGAGAGCAGCTTGCGTCAAAAGAATAGTAATAGTATCGTTCCTATTGTAAAGAAAAACATATTGCATATTATGAAAGGTACTATAGAGGACTCCCTCCCCTTTGCGTGTCAAGCACTGAAATGGTGTTTTAGGAAATCATGTGACTTGTTGAGTATAGCCTTTTTGCTCAAGCATTCAAGGCAATGTTTTTAGACGCAATGTGAAGAGTCTTGCATGTATTGTTAACGAAGATTGCTTGAGAAAAAAAAAGGGGGGGGATTGTGGAAAACTGCCATTTTTTTCACGAGATCATATGGACTACCGTTGTTTTTTCCTTGCACATCCGTTGTAAATGTGTCACCCATGTGTGGTTAACTTCCTGTTTAGATTTTTTTTTAATTTTGCCGAACAAGGTAAAACAAGAAATGGCTCCCCGTTCCGAACTGTTTGATATAGCGTATATTTCCCAGGTACGCCTTATGGATCAAGTCGGGTTGCTGTAATGTCCTACACCAACAGCAAACACTAAGGTGCTCGAAGACATTGGTTGGGGCGGGAGGGGGGAGGGGTTGAATTTTACTTTCACAGCACTTCTTTAACTGCTCTTCTTCACTGTACTACTTTCACTTTTCATTGTCTGTGCTCTGCTTCTATTGTATTACTTCTCAAAGCGACCAAGTGACATGGTGTGTGCACTCCCACAACACCTAGGTGAAACCTCGCTGAATCAGACATGACCTTTACAAGACGTGATTTCCTTGTCCACCCACAGGCGTGGTCCAGATGTCCCACGAGAAACGCCTGATCAGGGACTTGATCGGGAACTACACGTTACGCGGGAAGATGGGGAGGCCAGTCCAGGAGCAGAACGACACCATCACCATCTACTACGGCATGTCGCTCATACAGATACTGGACCTGGATGAGAGGAACCAGGTGCTGAGTACCAACGTCTGGGCAACTTATGTAAGAATATCATTGTCTCTCTCTCTCTCTTTATCTCAGTCTTTCTTTCTTTTTTTTTCTTTTTTTTTCTCTTACTTTTTCCCTCTTTTCTTTTTCTCTCATTATTACCTCTAAAAATCATTGCCTCTCCGTTTCTCTCTCTCTTTCTCTCTCTATCTTTCTCTCTCTCTTACACGCATACACACACACACGCGCGCGCGCGCGCACTCACTCACAAAAAATCAAACAACCACAATCTGGATTTTCCTGAAGAATTTTTAAAGTAACACATTACGTACCACAAAGCAAATCCTTTTTCTAAAGCCTTGCAGTGCACTTGCTGTTGTTTAACATTCGGATTTTTTTTTAAACCTGGCCTTTTGAGTGGCGTGAAACAAAAATAAGGTACTTGTCTAGCTAACGTTGTACCCTTGATTAAAGTTATTGAAAATGATGCACACTTTTTCCCTCCTCTTTGTCACCGCCCGAGTTTCACAAAATATGCAGCGGTCCGTTGAAGACCCACTGGATTGCCTTTTAAAGCTTGTCTCTAAGGGGCACTGTCTCTAAGGGGCATTGTCTCTAAAGTTCATTGTCTCTAGCAATGGAGCTGCTCTGGGACTGTTTGTATTGGGCATTCTTTAAACGCGATTGATCTGTGAATGAGTGTCCTGTTTCGTAAGCATGTCTCTGACTGGTCAATCCTTAGCCGCTGCTACACAATATGTGCATTTAGCCTACATGCCACTTTTTAAAAAATACCAAACACTGAGCTTGTCGTGAAGCTAAGCTGGTTATTATGATCAGGATTCAGATATACACGTGTGGTTGCAAATGATACTGCCCTAAACACGGATTTTGTGCGCGAAGGTTTCTGGTTCAAGATTATCTGAAGATCTGATCGTACAGCTCTTACATGTATGTTAAAGCTTTCCGATACTTTGACATAGGCGTAAACACAATCATATATTATATTTTGGTCCGGACAACGTGAACTTCTTTGCTCTTCTCTTTCCTTCTCTCTCTCTCTCTCTCTCTCTCTCTCTCTCTCTCTCTCTCTCTCTCTCTGTTCATCTGTATATCTTTCTGTTTTTCGGTCTCTCTTCTTCTCTGAGAAAGAAGGGGAGAGAGAGGGGGGGACAGACAGACAGACAGACAAATAGACAGACAGAGACAGAGACACAGAGAGAGGGGAGGGGGAGAAAGAGCCTGTGGATGTTAGTAGTCCAAGGAGAATCTAATCAATTACCTTGAAATACCCTACAGTAATATGAGGAAAGAATACGAACATCCCAAATATTGAAAAACAACTTTTCTTCTCAGAGATGAGAACGTATCATACGTCTTTCTCAGACATTATTAAAGCTCTAATCCATCATGAACGTCAGAGCTGGCTAGCTTTGGTAATATTGCTTCTTGGCCGCGCAGAGTTTTCTATTGTTGTTACTTTTGTTGATGTTGTTATTGCTGTTGTTGGTGTTGTTGCTGTTCTTGGTGTTGCTGTTGGTGGTGGTGATGTTGTTGCTGTAGTTGTTGTTGTTGTTGTTGTTGTTCTTCTTCTTCTTCTTCTTCTTCTTTTTCTTCTTCTTCTTCTTCTTCTTCTTCTTCTTCTTCTTCTTCTTCTTCTTCTT